GTGCCACCACACATCCAAATCTAAGCAAAAACAATGACATTCTTCCTCAACGATTCCGTTAATGACAACACAAAAAAACTCTTTTACCCCTCAAATTTTGACCCTCAAATAATAAGCATTCGAAAACAAATGTGATCAATACTCAAACTTATCGAAATGCCTTCAAAATTGTACTGCAACAAGAAGATATTAACTGTTCGATTCGGAATCATAAATAAGAACCTCGCAACTGAACTTTTCCCCAATATTTCATATCAAAAAATAACCAACCTTGAACGATAATTCCAGGTTTTCACCACCCCAAATATCGAACCCCGGATCATAAGTGCCAAGTTTTTCGAAATAAGCTTTATCAATCGAGAATAAACCCCCAGCCATTGTGGGTGACCTGGAATGTTTAACTGACGCTACTGTAATACATCCACACAGTTCCATAAAAAATTAATAGAACGATATGTTGAAGCAGTGTGCTAGGGTTGACGATGGACAAAGTCTGCACTACAGTAGACACTTAAAATAACCTCTACTCATCAATGATACAGTATAAATAATCTTGTTGTAGGTCACATTGTTGAAATTAGAAAACTTGTACGAAGAAGAATCAATGGAATATCTAACGAACCTGACGGGATCAATATGCCTCTGTCTGTTCTTACGATCACGTTCAGGAATGGAATGCCAGTTGAACTGCAAAGACCAATCAAAACCACCGACATTCGTGAAATACGCTTTTGAATAATGGTATTCGAACGTTTGATCGTCAATCACGTCGATCACTGGACAAACCACTGTTGACGTGTTCCGTTTTATACGATCAAGTAGCGGCTCTATCCATCCTGCAATCCGCATTCACTTTGCACTTGAATATTACCATCTATATCTCTCGATAATCACCCAATAAATTCTATTTCCAAAAACCTTCCAACCATCTGAATGAAAACAACAGCATTGAAGGAATATAAACACGAACGAGTCAACGACTAATATAAATGAGTTGCACACAAAACATTGTCCCATGAAATAGCGTACAAAATGAAGCAGATATTGCCATTCAAAAAAATGACTGCAACATTCATATACGACAAATTATTCAGAATAACAGAAAAAAAGAATATGCAATTCAGGAGTGAATAAATGACCAACCTTCCATGCATTCGCAGTGTGAATCAAGAAATGTTATCACCGGTCCCTTTGCAACAGCCGCACCTTTTAAACGAGCTCGAATTAAACCTTCACGCTTCTCCATCCTTAGTATACGTACCTTTTTCAATGTCGCCATATATTCCTCTAAGTCCTTCTGTAACATTTCTTATAAATATCTCCAAAATTATAACTGTTCAACTGAACGTTCACATCGGCATTTCAGCAGCAGTTTTTGACATCCAAAAATTCTTACGATTAATCACGAACTCATCACATTTGTTAGGTGCGATGTGTTTGATAAATGATTATAACAACTAAATTCGTTGACCAAATAATTCACACGACTAACTTTTCAAATATTTTTCCTCTTCAACATCAACACTAACAATAAGCTAAATGATATTCAAACGAACCTTCAGATGTTCCATATTCGAAAAATCGTCAACCAAAATCACTTCTGTGAGTAAATTGCTTGGTGTCCTTTCGATAACGCTATGCACTGTTCGCAGTAACACTGACCATGCTTCATTATGGAAACAAATTATTACCGATGTACTCGGCAATTTTTCTGAATATTTTTCCGTTTTGCATCTACAAAAAACAAAAAATACTTCCTTGATGATATCAATCAAGATAATAAGATAAACTCAGCTGAACACATAATCATATGAATCGCACTAAAATTCTAACTCTTCGACAGCTTACAAATACTTTTTTCTCATTTTTCAAAATTTTCATCAAATTAAATCAATCACTACAACGATTATGAAGATGTTTGAATATAGACAACATACAACCAACAGCACAGAGCTGTACGGACTAGATGTTATTTTTGATAAAAACAGCAATCATTTGACTGTTGAAAAGCCTTTTACACTCGCAGTCGCAGGTTACTTATTACTCAGAGAGGTGGAATAACTATCAATAAATCGAATATCTTGCGAAAGTAAACCAATAAAAGTTCAACTGAAAAATTATGCAAGCCAATTTTAAAAAAATACAAGTAATCACATGAACATACTCTTCATCGATTGTCGTTGGAAGCGTACGGTGAATAGAAATCATATCCGAAACATACTGATTGAAAGCATTATTCGTGAATCCAGTATCATATTTTTGGCGTTCTTCTGGCGATAAATCCTAAAAACCAAAATTCTGACGTACCAAACGGCCGTTGGTATTCTATCGCTGAGCAATCTCAGAGAGCACTCAGCCTCCGTCGAATGATTGTCTTGAGTTTGCAATCAGTTCTTCAGCACACGTAGTGCGAAACTGATCTGATGAGCATCGAACACCATAATCAACGCGAACTGATTTATACGCAATCATGATAGCATGATCAGATAATCAGATACAAGTGAAGTAAATCATAGCTTGGCTCATGCCTGGTATCGTCAATAAATTTGGTACAGCACTCGGTTACGACTCGGTTTATATTTAATTCATGCTATCATCGAATAAGTTTTTCAGAATCTCGCTCACATGACATTTGCTTTCGTCGATTATTCTCTGAGGAAAACAATACTCTCCAATGATTCATAACAAAAGATAAGAATGAAAATGATAGTGGGTTACTTCTTTTTTGATTTTGACAGGTTTTCCTCCTTCACCAGCTTGATTTGGATCACCCTTCTTGTAAATCGGAGAATCTACGTCAAAATGAAAACTC